GATTTTCTAACGATTAATCGTGCAGCCCTAGGTGCTACTCATCGCTGGATTGTTGTACTACTCTCATCAGTGTAGTCCTGGCTCCAACTAAGCTCTTTTCTTCCATCAGTGTTGTCTTCAGTCTAACCTGTGGTTCTCTTTGCGAATAGACCTCCTGGATCCATCCCTCTTCTTCCCTGGAAGTGAACGTGAGTGAGTTTGTGAGGGACCAGCAGATCACAGTGTGTGGCTGACCTACCCTGTTTCCCTGGATTCCCTGGAGCCCCATCCGCTTGCACAGTTCCTCTCCAGATAAGCAGTTAGCTGTTTCACACATAGTCTTTCTAGATTTTTTGAGATAAATAGAAAGTTACCAAAAGGCAGAATGAGGAATGTCATTCAGCAAATACTTATCAAAATATTAGCCCATTTGGATTCCAAAGTATGAGTGCAGTGTTGTCTGTTAGTCAGAAAAAAAGTAAAACAGTAAGTAAAAGATTGTGATGTATGTGAACGAGAGATGGTGTAAATTGGGGTACATCAGTGTTAAGGAGTAGTGCTATACACGAGCTGTGGCGCTGTTAACGGTTAGCATCCGACCGTATTTCCTGCTGCGGGAATTCTCGCAAGTCATCGCAATAACTGTTTACATTCTGCAAGCAGCAGATGCGGCAGCAGCATGCGAGTGAATTCACACAGTAGTGTCCCAGCTGGAGACATCACATCCCCAAGCTTTCCTTTTCATCCTTGGGGATTTTAATCATGTTTCCTTGTCCTCAACTCTTCCTACTTTCACCCAGTATGTGGGTTGTTTTACCAGAGAAAACAAAACACCGGACTTACTGTATGCAAATATGCAAATACCAAGGGTCCATATAGATCATCACCCCTCTCCCCACTAGGTTGCTCAGACCATAACCTGGTCGATCTGGTTCCCTCATACATAAGCTGGTGTGTAAATAACCCCCCACCTCTTCAGAGGTAAAGAGGTGAGCATGGCACTGAAAGACTGCTTCCAAACTACAGACTGGGAGGTAATATGCAGCCCACTTTTCTGCTGGAGCAGAAAAGGAGGGGTTTCAGATCTGGAGACAGAGAGGAAATGAGGAGAGTCCAGAGGAGCTAACGAGAGAGATAAGGAGGGGAAAGGACAGCTACAGGAGGAGCATCTCCAGCAGAGCAACACCAGAGGTGTGTGGAGAGGACTGAACACCATCACAGTGAGCAGAGGGGGTCCAGAGCCTGAGGACCTGGATAGTCAGGTTTGGGCTAATAGATTTAACCAATGTTAGTGAAGTTGCCCCCCCCGCCCCCTCCCCCACCTTCTTCAAATCTAACAAAAGTGGTATCAAACATTTGTGCTATGTTTGTGCTGCAAAAATTTTCGTTTGTGCCGCTTTCATTTTAAAGATATTAATAAACATTTCTAGAGGTCATCAGAGGTCAACCAGCCCCCCCGCATTGATGGAATCAAAGAAAATTGATGTCAGTCAACTGTGCTATGTTTGGGTTGTGCTGCAAAGATTGTCGTTTGTGCTGCTTCTGTCTTAAAGATATCAATGAAAATGTAAAGGTCAAAAGGTCAACCAGCTCCCCCACAT